TAATGCAACTACTCCAATGTTTTGGAGATGCATCAAAGGCCATGAATGGTCTACAACTCTTTATCGAATAAAAAATACGGGAAGATGGTGCTTACAATGTGCTGGTAATTTTCCTTGTGGTCTTATGGAAGCCAAGGAAATTGCTCACAGTAGAGGAGGTATCTGTCTTTCTACAGAATATATAAATCTTTGTGTTCAAATGCAATGGATGTGTAGTAAGGGTCATAAATGGTTCACAAGTTTCAATTGTATAAAGCACTCTAAAACATGGTGCCCATATTGCTTTAATAAACAAGAAAACTTATGTCGCGAAATCATAACGAATATTCTTGGCCCTTCTTCTGACATTCGCAAACCAGATTTCTTGAAAACATCAGAGTATCCTCGTGGACTAGAGCTCGACATCTACTATCCACAATATGGATTTGCCATAGAGGTGCAAGGCAAACAACATGAACAACACGTAAAACATTTTCACAAAAATGAAGAAGACTTTAGAGAGCAATTAATACGTGATCGGATTAAAAAAGAACTCTGCGAAGAAAATTGGATTGTTCTAAGATATGTTTGGTATTATGAGGACCCCTATCTGGTCATTCCAGAGCATCTTCGAGAATTGGGTCTTATTGAATAAGATCAAAACTTTAAATACTTCATGATCATTACGTGTGTTATTTTTATTGGTATACATTAAAGAATAATTTATAAAATGCCGGAGATACATGATGACTCTATCTGAAAATTGCTTAATGTTTTTTTTCGAACATCTTTTTACCTAAAAAAAGCAGTGTATTATTGCATATGCCAAATCTCAACAAAAGCTGGCACAACAAAAAATAGGCGAAAAACAATGTCATTACCTTGATCGTATAATTGAAACTTTAGCTTCGTCTCGTACATACGTAATATGTTCATGGCATTTCTGTAACGATAATGAGCTATCACGTATATAAATAAGGAATATATTTTTCTTTAATCATTTACTTGATCCAACCAGTGAAAATGTCTTCCGGTATGACCTATTATTTTCGTAGGAGTTTTTCACCAGCTCTCCTCGTTACACATCAAGTCATGCTCCTTCAACCACAAAAAATTGCGTTAAGAAATTCAAATCCTCATATGTTTCTTTCGAAACCTTATACAAATTCCGCTCCTAATGAGTCTGCTTCCTTCGCCTGGAAAAAGAAATGGGATTCAGTACAAATCTATTTACGTTCTATCGACTGGAAACAACGAATATGGGGAATATTTGGACTTTTGTCAAGTGGTGGTGTAGTCTTTCTAGCAGGAGATCTTCTTTACGCTTGGTGGGTAAACCAATCTAATGA